TATTTTTAAAATAAAACTTTTGCCCAGATGCCGATTGATTGGTGAGATTATATAGTTTAGATATTGTAGCGACTTTTATACAAATATTCTGAGAGCTGAGCAAGATATTTAGAGTTGGTAAATGTGAATTATAAACTTGATTTAGTTATTTTCTTGTTGCAACTGAATCAGAATTTGTTATGAAGAGGAGACAGACGTCCCTCAGCGTTAGACTTGTCAGAGGACAAAGGCATCACTTGTCATCACAAGTATCACTAAGAGATACTTGAATGGGAAAACCTCAGGAGAATCGATAAGTTTTATCGGTAGCTCGTATCAATTGCTGAGCTATCAATGGAGAAGAGTAAGACGTCTTTTAGAGTTACACTTGGAGATACTTGAGTGAGAGAAGAAGGGCGTTAGAAAGGGAGAGACTTGAACGATTGAATCTTACGCAAGTTTATAAGTTTTACCAATTGCTGAGCTGTCACGACAGCTGCAACTCTATCAGTGTGTTGCGGTAGGAGTTAGTGTATATTCCCCTTGTAGATTCGTCAGATTAATGGGGTTTTCTTTGGAGTTTCATGCTTGACACACAGCTTGATTTCACATGTCACTTCAAGCCATCTGCTTTTTTTCCTCGCCTAGTATTAGAAATGGGAAAAGGCATGACAACGAGTCGTTAACTTAGCCCAGCCAGCGCGTCGCTCGTCGCCTGCGTAATCCTAATGAACGTCCTGTCCCACGGCTGTTGCTGCTGCCGTACATCCTTACGGCATAATTGCTGCACACTTTTTCGCTGGCTTAAGGCCGAAGGCTGTGGCGGCCTAAGGCAAACGACTCTCAGCTGGGGGCCCCTTTGGCATGCCAGTTCAGCGTCTTTTACGCGTCGTTGCCACCGTCTCGTTGCCATCGAATATTGAAGACGATTCCAATCCGATGCCTCGACTGATTGTATGTGGCATCCAATGCTTCGTTTAGCCTCACTTTAATTGAATAAACAACTAAATGCTGTACGCAATGAGTCAAAGATCGAACTTTAAAGCTCGAATAGCGAACTGATTGAATCTAACTTAATCGCTTATTTATGCGCCACATTGCGTATACGCCACGAGTGCTGTTTACAAAAGGAAAAAGACTGTGCGTTGCCTATTGCTTGCTGATAATTTATATAGCGCTCGTTTGGCTTTAGCTTTAATCAGAAAACACATAAATTGTGCGTGTATGCCGTTGCGCAAATCGGAATGCCAAATAGTCTTTTGCTAGCTGTTCAATGTGAAATTAAACATAATTTTGAGGCGCATTTAAGCGGGCGACTAAAGATGATAAATGATTCGCAGCTGACTATGGCAACAATGCCAAAGACTGAGAAAAAAGCCAATAACGCCAGAGACCCACTGCCACAGCGAGCTAAAAACCCACAGCAACAACAGCAGCAGCAGCAGCAACAACAACAACAACAACAATATTGAGACAGCAATCAGCAGACGAGTGGGTGGGTGGCTATGGCGCCCCAGATAATGCGTACGCCATACAGCGTGTCATTCAGTCAGCCATTCAGTCAGTCAGTCAGTCAGTCAGTGAGTGAAACAAATTGAGCTACAGGCAGGATTCAGGCAATACAGAATCAGCTCGTCAGTCACTCAGGAAGAGTGCGTTTACTGGAGGAAGACGCTTGTAAAACTAACGATAAGCGTCATGTAATTTGTGATACGAAACGTTTACGGCCCTAGGTGATTGTGCGTGTGTGTGTGTGTGTGTGTCTGAGCAAACTCACATTATGAGGCAGCAAATTGATTTATTGTAGTTTTATATATGTATATACATATATGCAAAAAGGTGCCTTCGACCGAAAATAGGCCCAGGGCAGTGACCTATTTGGTCAGTAAACTTGAAAAACGTTCGACCAAAAACACACAGACATCGCATCATTTATTAACTATGTTATGCATACAAATACTTACGAGCAGCACTGTTATCATATTAGTTAGCATACTTAAACATGATTACCTACATTTGTATGGCCAAATTATTGTATACAAATGCATTACTCTATCATTAATCGATTTATTATGCAAAATTTAAAACAATTTAGTCTGCATTATTCAGGAATTTCAACTTCTGTTCAGATGTCGTTTGGGCTCAGTCACTCGTTGCATGCAATTATTTTGGCAAAATCAAATTGTTGCCAGACCTGGCTGCCAATTATTTGTGGTTTGTCGTTAGTCCCATTGGCTCGCTTCACAGTTTGCCATGCATTGCCTGTGGCCTGTCGAAAGGCTTTCGAAATGATTTTCAATTATCCAATCAAGTCAATTTGCTAAACAGCAATTATTCAAACCGATAATGTTAATGATACCATTGATAGACTGCAGCGATGCCAGAGTTGGGCATTCAAGGGAGATTCGGATATCAAAGTGATCATATAACACAAGCGAACAGCCTAGAGAACTGCAGAGTCACAGTCGAGCTGGCGAAATGCTTCATTAATGCAGTTCAAATTACGAAATAATTAAGACGACTTCACCTGAAGCGAGGCATAAGCATATTTCCTTACCTAAGTCTGCCCACAAAATGTGGCCAATCTGTAGGGAATTGTAGGCTTTGATATTCAATCTTCAAGCGAGCAAACTACTATTTGCGTACTATGTGCGTTGTGCTTTGCGTTCTGCAGTTAGGCAAGTAAGTGACTTTAAGTTACCTTAAACACCATGTGAAACTCACAAGCCTCTACGCACACACACCTACTCACACACACATCGAGCTCTTTCATGCCATCTCTGTGCCTCTTCTAACTGACTTTGATGTTTATTGGCCGTTCTCATTGATATGTTTATGGCACGAATATGTTTGGTAACAAAATGTGCTCTCGCCTTAAAAGTCTTTCGGGTCTAATGCGCTCGGGTATGCACAAAGGGGCGTGCTTTGAACTTTGAAGCAACAACTATCTGTCTTTGCCTTTGTGTGGGTATTTAACAAATATTGGAGCTTTCAGTTTTTGGCATTTATCGATATCACTTATAGTGGATTCCTAATCATTTATCGATATCATTTATATGGAACATCCGACCAATAATTGATGTCACTTACAACTGATTTCCAATCACTTATCGATATCTTTAATAATTGATTTCTTATCATTTATCGATGTCGATTACAGTGAACTCCTAATCATTTATCGATAACAATAATCGATGTATTTTTTAATTGATTTTCAACCAATTATCGATATCTTTTACAATTGATTTCTTATCATTTATCGATATTATGCATAGCCGAATTTGTATCATTTATCGATATCGATTATAGTGAACTCTTAATCATTTATCGATATCATTAATCGATGTATTTTTAATTGATTTCCAATCAGATATCGATATCTTTTATAATTGATTTCGTGTCATTTTTCGATATCATGCATAACCGAATTTGTATCGTCTATCGATATAATTTATAGTGAATTCCTAATCATCTATCGATATCATTAATTTATCGATAGATATCCTATTAATTTATCGATATCAATAATCAATGTCTTTTTTAATTGATTTCCAATCACTTATCGATATCTTTTATAATTGATTTCGTATCATTTATCGATATCATGCATAACCGAATTTGTATAATTTATCGATATAATTTATAGTGAGCTACTAATTATTTATAGACATCATTAATCGATGTTATTTCCAATCACTTATCGATATCTTTTATAATTGATTTCGTATTATTTTGTATTTGTATCGTTTATCGATATCATTAATCGATATCCTTCATAATTGATTTCCACTCATTTATCAATCTCATTTATAGTTGATATCTAATCATTTATCGATACCACTTATAATTCGTATCGAATCATGTTAAGAATGAATGAATGAATGGATTCTGGGCATACGGCAATTTTCTACTATAAAATCGGTGGCTGATTAAGAGCTCACACAAATAAGATTTAGTTCGAGTGATTTACCGTAAGCTACTTTCAAATTCTTTCCACATGTGCCGGCCTCAGCAAATATTCACACATAAATCATAAGTTTTTTATGGTCAACTATGAATAAGCAACTTCAATAATATTAAGTAAATCAGACTTTTGTTGTCGAGATCAATTTGCAGCTGTTAATATGAATATTTCAATTGTAGCTAGGCTCAGCCAGGAGCTGATGGAAATGCAGCTTCAGTAGATGGAAATTTGTTGGTCGGCTGCCAAATGGTTGGGGCTTTTGTTGCAGCTCTAACTGGATGTCAGATGCACTTTGATCCTTTTTGCTAGGCCCGCATCCGGCGACTGTGTAAATGTGTCCCTATATATGTGTGTGTCTGTGTGTGTGTGTGTGTGCGTGTGTATTTATGCAATTGTGGGGCACAGGCTGGACACTGATGGAGAACGATGCTGGCTCTGGCTCTGACTCTCGCTCTGGCTGTGGCTCTGGCTCTGGCTCTGTTTCAGTTTCTGTTTCTGGGTCTGTTTCTAGGTCTGGGTCTGGTGCTGTGGCTGTGTGTCCCATTGGGACATATTTTATATTTAATGCAAGACATTTGTCATGCGGTTGGCGCATTTATTCAAAGTATTTGCTGCAATTTTAATGCCAAAATGAGAGCGCAATTTCAAATACCAAAAAAATGTGCACGAACCGCACCGAGGCCTGGCCGGCAGTCGGCCCAGCGCCTGGGCGACTATTTAAAAATGAATTTATGCGAACATCTGTATGCGCATGCATATATATGTTTATATAAATATAAATATATATATATATATATATATATATATATATATATATATATATATATATATATATATATTTTTTTTTTTTTTTAAATGCGTTTGGAATTGCAAAGGACAATATGCGCTGAGAGCTCTCTGATTTATACATACAATTACATTTACATTTATATTTATATACATATATATATATATACATATGTATGGATACATATAAGTTGTTGACTTAAGATCACTTTAATTAAATTTTAACTGCCAACTTATTTGCTTTGTGTGTTTTGAAAATTTCTCTTTATAGAATCACTTGGAGGATGCAAATGTGCGAGGCAAATTGAATCAATTTTTGAATATATAATATATGTATGTATATATATATATATATGGGGCAAGCAATAACCAAATGAAACTTTACAAAGATAACGCTACCCCAAAGGGCATCAATAAATAAGTGTGCATCTACTCGAAATATACATATATGTATAACATATATATATAGATATATATATATATATATATATTTGCTTCTCTTTTTTTGTAGATGGTTGCATAGAGCAGTCAGCATAAGAAAGGATAGAAAACAGAAGCAATCAAATTCTATTTCCAAATTGAATTTTAAATGCACTCACACACTCGTTGCCATTGAGTGGGCAATAGATGGCAAGGAGTAGGAAGGACGCCGGCTGAAAGGACATAACGACAATATTTGCCATCAAAATCGAAATTGAAGCACTGACAAGGCAGCTCGCTAGCTACTTGTTAGCCAGACAAAGTAATCAAAACTTGCCAAGCAGCAGAAATAGAAACAGCAACAGCAGCAGCAGCAGTGCGGTCCGGTAAACAAGTTCCGGAAATCTGCGAAAAAGTACGGAAACGCAGCTTTCGATAGACAACACCAAACAAACATAAAGCCGGCAGCAAGGGCAAACGAGCGGAAGAGTCGAAAGGGGCGTGGCTCATACATAATACATGCCACACGGACATATAAAACAATTGTGTTACAATCGTAGCAACAATCAATCAAGAGTCCGATATCCTCACATAGATTTCTTTTGGCGTTGACAAGCTAAATAGTCAAGGTCAACGACCGACCGGAGATGCCACAAATGTGGGCAGCCAGCCGTTGCCGTGTCGCAGACAGAGACTGAGACTGAGACTGAGTCTAAGGCTCTCACTACAAACACGAACACAAACATAAACAGAAACACACACACACACACACAGAGTCAGCCAGACATTGCGACCGCTTGCCCGCCCTCGATTTCCGGCCAAATAAAAACCCCGCAATTGCACAAACCCTTGCCCCTGCCTCCGCCTCCTCCTCCTCCTCCTCCTCCAGCTCCTCCATCAACAGTCGGCGCACAAAAGAACATTTTTGATAAATGGCAGTTGGAGTAAAAAAATTTGCGGCAAGCCAAAAGTAAAAGTTTACGCCAGCTTGCAAAATTGAAAGGCAAGTAAGGTGGCACAGATAAGAGCCACAAAAAAACAATAATAACAACAACGACAACAAAAAGAACAACAACAATAACAACAGCCGTCCCATCACGAACAGAAGTGGCATTAGCAAGCGTCAGCCTCCACTTTGATAACAACAGGCAACCAAAAAGTATAAAAAACGAAAGCGAAAGGCAGCAAAGAAATAAATAAAAAATAAAATAAAATCGAAAGAAAATAAAAAAACAATTGCCGTAGAAAATTGTTTTCCCTGCCGTATATCAGCCCACTCCGGTTCCATTTCCGCGTCCGCCTTCGCCTTGGCCTTCGAGTCGGAACACGGACACCCCGTGTCGCTGGTTATTGATTCAGTTGACCGCCTGATCGATGCGCCATATGTCTGGCTAAAAAACGCCTGCCACATAGCCATAGCTATAGCCAGAGCCAGTTGGCCGCATGCCACAGGTTGCAACGGTTGCCCAGATTGTATTTGAGTTCACGTTACGGTTGAGTGAGTGATTGTGACTTTATATAGAGACACTTTGATAGCGACAGATGATTTGCCAATCGATCGGGCTCTTCAAATAAATGAATGCTCCCAATTGGCTTCTAACTGCACACAGAGCAAGTGCCCGAGGCCCCAGCCAAAGCGGAAGCACAGCGATTCCCAAATCAATACGTTTAACTAATCGAATGCGTCTCATTGTGCCCACTGCGAGAATGAGTCGTGCCGCACGAAGCGTCCATCTGGCCTGCGCCTATCTCCTGGGACTCCTAATCCTGTTGCCAGGTAAGTGATCACATATGATGCAATTCAAACTAGTTACGCACAAATCGAAGCAGCTCATCACCCCAGGCCAATAACTTGATTCTAGTAATTAGGTATTCTGATGCGGAAACTCCTGTTTCATCTACCTTAAGTTGTTATTTAGTTAATTTCTTTTACAATTTCGTAACTCTCTTTCTTATTGCTTATGCATAAGGGAATATATATAAGTTAACACATAACATTTAATATAGGGTATTTCATAAGTTTATAACCAACCCTCGCTATCGCGTGTTTCGTAAGTTAAGAAACAGCCCTCGCAATTGCGACACTGCATACTTTGTATCAGCGCGCTATAACTGCAATGGTCAGCGGCGGTAACCAGATACTTTTGTTTACTGCAAGAGTTTCCGTTATTGCCTAAGATTGCTGAGTCGGCTTGCCGACCATGACATTGTGGTGTGATGCGAGTTTTGGCTTAGCTTAAGTGAAATATTCTATGTAGCTAAAAATCAGTTTTGCATTGAAGTTTGAAGAATAAACCCGCACTACTCCGGCACACCGCCGTAATCAAATTGTTATATTTCTGATCATTGCTGAGCCACAAGGCCAGTTAATAGAAAAGGGGGTGAAGTCAAACCCTCCAACATAATCATCATAAGAAGATTATAATTACCCGATCAACGCTGGACCTGCCACCGACGCCTAGCTCATAGCTGGACCAGCAACTTATTGATTAAGACTATAAATACCCGATCAACGCTGGACCTGCCACCGACGCCTAGTTCATCGCTGGACCAGCAACATATTAATTGGCGCCCAACGTAAAAAAAAAAAAAAAAAAAAAAAAAAAAAAAAAATTTTTTTTTTTTTTTTTTGGAATTTAAATCATAATTTCATATTGCGATTGCCTGACAACGTCATAGCCGAATGCGATGGAAAAACCCACACACTGCAGAGTTGCACCGCTTCACCTGGAGCCACCTTTTGTCGTCTGGCATTAGAGAGTTCATGTGCCAAAGAGCTCCATGCAGGTGGCACGGCACACTGTGAAATCCAGCCGAGCAACCTGGAAATAATCACCCACGTAGATGATGGAATCATCATTCTTAACGACGGGTCCGCAAGGATCCAGGTGGATAACGGCACTGAAATCCAAGTACACGGCACGCATCTCATTACGTTCGGGGACCGAGTCGCGATCAACGGGACTCTGTTTTACAACCACAACAACGTACGCAATAGAGTCCCGGGCATTGCCAACTCTCCCTTGCTGAACATCACTGCCAGCCAAGATGTCCTCAGCCTCCCTTATCTTCATCGTTTAAATGAACGTAATTTGGAGGAGATACAGCAATTCAAGAAAGACGCCGGAACTGATCAAGCTTATCGTGTGGCATTCATCATTGGAGGTATATGCTGTGCTTTAATCTGCATTGGCCTCACCCTTTGGCGGTTCATCGACGCAAGGAAGTCTGCGAAGCAATTACGAGAAGTCGTCGCCGGAATTGGGTCGGCCGAGGGCGGCCTTACACTTGAAGGGGGAGTAGTTAACACATAACATTTAATATAGGGTATTTCATAAGTTTATAACCAACCCTCGCTATCGCGTGTTTCGTAAGTTAAGAAACAGCCCTCGCAATTGCGACACTGCATACTTTGTATCAGCGCGCTATAACTGCAATGGTCAGCGGCGGTAACCAGATACTTTTGTTTACTGCAAGAGTTTCCGTTATTGCCTAAGATTGCTGAGTCGGCTTGCCGACCATGACATTGTGGTGTGATGCGAGTTTTGGCTTAGCTTAAGTGAAATATTCTATGTAGCTAAAAATCAGTTTTGCATTGAAGTTTGAAGAATAAACCCGCACTACTCCGGCACACCGCCGTAATCAAATTGTTATATTTCTGATCATTGCTGAGCCACAAGGCCAGTTAATAGAAAAGGGGGTGAAGTCAAACCCTCCAACATAATCATCATAAGAAGATTATAATTACCCGATCAACGCTGGACCTGCCACCGACGCCTAGCTCATAGCTGGACCAGCAACTTATTGATTAAGACTATAAATACCCGATCAACGCTGGACCTGCCACCGACGCCTAGTTCATCGCTGGACCAGCAACATATTAATTTATATATCAAAGAGTTTCTAGTCTCTAGCTCTTGCAGCTCTAAGCACGTCTAAGCTGACGGACGGGTCGAGTCAGCTCGTCATGCTGCTTAAGAATATACTTTATGCGGTCTGCCACGCCTCCTTCAGTCTGTTCTGCCTGCTGCCTTCTACCTTTCCTCTGTTCCACACATTTAAAAAACCATTTGACGCCAAAGTGCCACTTCCCAATTTCCATTTCCATTTCCATTTAAGAATAAATGCAGAGTATTGGCATGTTGCAAGGCAGCACCAATAAATATTTTTTTTGTTTAGGTAAACTTAATTACTTAGTCTAATGACATTGGCAAATGCTAAATAATTGCAATTGGCATTGCCAACTTATCAATTTTAATTAGCCTGCAAAAGGTAATTATGCTTTTCAATTAACCATTGAGTGAAATTGCAATAAATTCTTTTAGCACTTACTGGAAATACAAACATTCAAACATTCACACACACACACATACATACATATATGTGTATGTATATAGTATATATATACGTTTAGCTCACTTGAGATTTTCCTGTTGCTTTTTTTTGTGATAGCTGAAAAGCTGACCCCAGCTGGCCATTTTGGCTGGAAGTACAATGCGGCGTGGCCTTAACAAATGTTTATTACGCATACGCAGCGTGGCAACAAATTAAACATGACTCGTTTTGTGTTAATGCTTGGGGCGACTCGACGTACTGTTGCTCTTGCCACAGTTCACTCTCTGTCTATCTGTCTGCCTGTCTGCCTGTCTGGCTAGCTGCCTGTCTGTCTGTCCTTTGTTGTTGCTGCAGCTGATGGCTGATGTGAACGTAAACGTGGATGTGAGTCTGCTGATTCTGACGACTGGCAATTTGTTTATTTGATTGCATTTTCTGCACTCAGGGCAAAGGCACAAAGGTGGGTGTGTGGGGGTGGCAGGCAGAGGCGACTGTTTGCCTGACTCTGCGCACAAATCAAAGTCAACTGCGGTAAGTGGAACGACAAATAAAGTGCAGCCGTTTTATAGAAGCTCCTGCCCCAACTGCAAGTAGCTCTGGCTGCCTGACTGGCTGCCTGCCTGCCTACCCCATACAATCGAGCATCAATGCTCAATGCTCAATGCTGAGTGGCAAGCAAATTTTTTGGCTGCTTTATGTTTAGATGCAAACGAACGGCAATTAGATTGATGAACTACGTTGATTGTGGTGTCAGCAGAAATTCGAAACTTCGCCCTCTTTCCCCACCTCTCCCTCTCTCTCTCTCTCTCTCTCTCTCTCTCTCTCGCTATCTAGCAAAAGTTTTCAGCATAATGATGAGATTGATGAGCTATCTAGTGCTTGGCCATAGATAGCATATACTTTAGCAAAGATGTTTCAAAAATTTATGATGCCAGCTACGGACGACAACAGCTGCTACAGATAAATGATATGATGGCCATAAGCAAGTACATGTAGTTGCTAGCTTAATCCGGTTATTGTTATTGACGCTCAGCCCAGCCCAGGCCAGGCCCATTTGCATAAGCTGCAACTCATACTTCATGCTTCAGTGTTGATGTCCAAATGCCGCATTCTGCAGCAGTTGGACGTGGCTGTCTGTCCGAATTGCTCTTGGTTATGCATACAACAAGTTTTGTGGCACGTTTCAATTCATTTTGCCTGAATGTTTTTGGGTTCCTCAGCAGCCCCTACTCCGGCAACCAAAAATTCGGCAGATTCTTGGCTTGAACCTACTTGGAAATAATTCTCGTTGCTTCAAGTATTTTTTGCATATTTTCTCTGTGTTTTCTTTCAGTTTTATGAATTTTTGCCACGCCCACGCCCACATACACGCGCGCATACACGTGTATGTTATTATATGAATTCCGAGCGGTGCTTTCTTTTTTTTTTGTTTTCTTTTGTCAACCCAGTTTTATCTTTACCCTTGCACAAGAGCATTTTTTGCAAGCCTGCCCCCATTCAGACTGACACACACGCAGAGCCAGAGCCGCAGTCAGAGAGCCACATTCACATTTAAAGCCGCATCCACATTCTGGTGCCAGGTGCCAAACGCTGACCGCCTTCAATATGCATGCTAATTTTGGGCACCCACTGACGCGGCCAAAAATCCCGAACCCTGATCCGGTCTCCAGTTGCCAACTTCCTATTCCCATGGCCATACTTTTTACTCCCTGCCCTGCCCTGCCCTGCCCTGCCCTGCCCTGCTCATCATTCCTTTGTCCATTTGCAGTGGGTTGCCTCAATTTGATTTTAGGCATAAATATTCATGAATTGGTGTCTATCCGATTGCGATGTGTCCTGTGCGCCGTGTCCTGCCACGGCTGTAACTGAAATATTTGCTGGTCGACTTTTTGCGCATTCGCTTACTGATAAAACAATGCAACAAATTCCCACAATAACAAATTTCCACAGCTGCACTAAGCCCGCACTACATGCATTGTTTGCTATCGAACTGCCAGCTACATTGAATGGGCGCTTGGCTGTCCACGGCTACGGAATGCTCGCTCACAAAGGAAGCTTGTTCGGCGAGCTTATGCGAACTTCGTTTAGGCACATAACATGTTGATAAACGGGCCTCGATAGTATTCCGATAAGCGAGCTTCTTGATGTTTGTAATCACTGACATCAAGCTTCAACCCACTCTTACTGAAATACATTTCCCTTAAACTAATATACCCCTTCTCAAACTGTTAGCGACTATTGGCATAACATTACCAATTGCGAATGGTAAATTGGTTAATCAGCTCATACTTCTTGCAAAAAATATCACAGTACAAATAAGTGTCTCGAAATAAATTAAGTCAAAAAGCTTTTTTTACATATTGTGCAAGAATAATAACTCAGTTAAGATCTACTCAATGGATCTTTCAGTCAAACAGGGACTTGGCCTCCAAGGATGCGCGC